CCATTCTGACAATAGTGAAAATGGCATAAGTCTACTTTTACACCAATGCCCTCATTTATAATTGTGGTGTAAATTTCACACTATCTGCTTGCGCCATTTCTGAAAGTATGTGTAAAAAAATATTGAGATTTATACATTTGGCGTACGCCATACATACGCATGTTTTCCGTAAATATCAGACCTGTCGTAAAACTGTGCGCACGTGAACGAGCATTATAACGCTGTCAGGAAAATGCCCTCCAGTCACCTTTTTATGGTGACAATAACACCCTTTATCCCCAACTGTCCGTTGGTCACACGCAATATCTCAGACAGCACTGGGACGATTTTGAAATAACTTGGATGAATTATGCATCTTGCAATAGATATCCGCCATTTACAAAATTACACTGATTGGCCCAAGGCGGAAGCTATAGTAATTAATTGAAATGTGTTAGTCACATATTATATAAATTGGCCAAAGGGTGTGCGCTGCATCATTCGTGGGGGACGACATGTTTGCTGTATAATTTGGAACTATTCGAGTTAGGCCACAGCAGTAAAGAGGAAAAAAAGCAATGGTCAATTTGATCACATTTCTGTAGCGGTGTGGGCAGAATGTTTTATTCTCTACAGTGACTTTTTCAAAGTAAACATGCATGATGCCTATAGCGAGTGCCAAACGATTGATTGTATATTCTAAACAATTTAAAAGTAAAATGCTACAGCCCACACTTCTATGCAAAATACAGTTATCAATAGATAGAAACACAATCTCTTGCCTTATGCAAATGTACATAATTCACTTTAGCATTATACATTAATGCAGATCTAAATTCTCGGCCCTTAGTCAAGTGAATTATCAGCACTTGTCAGTTGGCTTTGCTATGCTTGGCAGATATTCCCCCCAGATACATTTTATGTAGAATGACTGAGAAGCTCCAAAATGAATGAAAATAAAATTGTTGACATCTAAAATATAATTTCCACCTCCAGAAATATGAGCCCAATAGTACTGGTAAAATTATTTGTTAATCATTTTTACATATTGGACCATGCATATAGCCTATGCATGGTCCATATTATCAGGTATGCTTTTAGCAATAAGCAGTATCACCTGTAGCCCAACTGATGCAGCATAATGGCTATAAATAAATAGGCTGAAGCATGGGGTAGCCTATCTGCATTTACCCTATTGGGCTTATCATTAGCTAGATCCCAAATGTGATCTCTTTACTGTTTAGCATGTTTTGATGAATTTTGTCACCGAAAACTTTTGTCTTGCAAGTTAAGTGCCTTTGAACGGGGTATGGTAGTAGGTGCCAGGTGCACCGGTTTGTGTCAAGAACTGCAACGCTGCTGGGTTTTTCACGCTCAACAGTTTCCCGTGTATATCAAGAATGGTCCATCACCCAAGGGACATCCAGCCAACTTGACACAACTGTAGGAAGCGTTGGAGTCAACATGGTCCAGCATCCCTGTTGAACGCTTTCGACACCTTGTAGAGTCCATGCGCTGAAGAATTGACACAATTTTTTCACTAACAGTTGACCAGGGAAGCTCTAGCAGGGCTGAAATTTGACGAACTAACTTGTTGGAAAGGTGGCATCCTATGACGGTGCAACGTTGAAAGTCACTGAGCTCTTCAGTAAGGCCATTCTTCTGCCAATGTTTTCTATGGAGATTGCATAGCTGTGTGCTCGATTTTATACACCTGTCAGCAAAGGGTGTGGCTAAATTGCCGAATCCACTAATTTGAAGGGGTGTCCACATACTTTTGTATATATAGTGTTTCTTGCATAGAACGCACAACAACAAGCTGACTGTAAATGGATGAATTATTATACTACGGGGTTTTCTGGTTTTTCTATTCATTACTCGTTTTGTTTGCAGAGGGGTAATAAATGAGGACTGTTTTAGCATATTATCTTCAAAGTGCACCTCGGCAGAAATATTTTTTCATGTTCCATATTTTTTTGCCGTTGCGGCAATAATGTTGCAGTGGCGCCACCGCTAAATGACTGCAGCGGAAACACTGAGCTGCACACCACCAGCGGTGAAGAAAAACGTGTGTGTGGTCCACGAGTACATGTTTGGTCATCCTGCATTTTTAGTGTGTTTTAAGTGAGTGTTCTTGTCTCCGAGAAGGTTGACCTGAAGGAATTTGTCTTAAATATAAAAAATAAATATGCCATTTAGCAGACACTTTTATCCAAAGCGACTTACAGTCATGTGCGCATACATTTTTACGTATGGGTGGTCCCGGGGATCGAACCCACTACCCTGGCGTTACAAGCGCCATGCTCTACCAATTGAGCTACAGAGGACCACTTGTCCTTTTGCCACATTCACTCCATCAGTATTCTTCTCCTCCTGTGACTGTCCATATCACTTTCTCCCTCTCCCTGTGTCATTCCTCCTTGTTTGTTAAAGCCTCGTAAATCTCTCCCTCTGTATTCTTCCTTTCAGTGTGGCAGAGTGCAGGTCATGGGATATGTTTCATATATGCCCATTAGGCTAT